AATGTCTTTTTATTTTAAACATTCTCAAAATTCCATCCAAAAGCAATGAAACAATGAAAGGAATGTAACTACAGATAAAGAAAAATTCTAGGGACTTACCAAGAAATTCTAAAATATCAACCAAGAAACTATGAGAACTAATAAGAAAGTTCAGGGAGGTTGATTTTCAAGTAAACATATAAAAATCAATAGCTTTCTTAATTATAAATAACAGGTTTTTCAATAGGTAGAAGTATTCTTTCACAAAAGAAGCAAAAAAACAAAACACCTAAGGAAAGTAAACAGAAATGTACAGAACTTACCAAAAGAAAGCTTACAAAACATCCTTAGGTGAAGACATAAAAATCTTGAATAAACAAAACCATACACCATGTTCCTAAGCAGCAAAATATAACAAATTCAATTTCTGTCAAATTATTCTACATGTTTAATGCAATGAAAAATGTTTAAGCATATGATAAAATTCTGAATACTATTCAGAATAAATTATTCAGGAAAAATAAATAGGTAGAAAATGTTTTTAAATTGTTTTTGAAAAAGACTACAGGACATTAAACTAGATTATGAAGTCAATTAAACACAGCACTACTAGAGTAATAAGGATGTTACATTTGACTAAAAGGTCAGAAGAATTAAAATCAAGTAGGTCTATAGAAACAAACAGCCCTCAAAGAAAAGCAAGTGTATAGTTAGGACCGTAGCTTCTTAGAGAGAACTGTGGTGTTTCAAACCAAAGGGAATGAATACTGTAACCGAGAAGTCAGAATAATTCAGCCCAAATTCAGACAGTCAGGAACCATGAGCAACAATAGAGACACCTTACCAATGAGTTTCTGACTTACTAACCTGACAATTTTCTACAACAGCTATATCAGAACAGCAATGTACAGTGTTTCCTCAGTGATGTTTCCTATCCTTTTACTAGTAGGTCAGGAACAGAGTTACAAATGAGTCAGTTACAAATGTAAATGCTTGACAAATGACTCGATAAATTCATCAAAAGCATTTTAAATCTCCACAGCAAGAGAATGAATTCAGCTGTAGCTGCTTAACTACTAATAATAAGATTAAGTTAGATCCCCAATTCACAGAATATATCAAAATAAGTCCTGGATAAAGTTAAATATAAACACTGAAAGCATAGTATCAAAGGCACTTCAAAAAGGCTGACATAACTTACCATCCTACCAGAACTGTAAGTACCCATTTCCCCTAGACTCCAGCAACATATGCTCGTGTTCATTTTCTTTGAGAAATTCTTTGTAGAATTTATGGCAAAGCAATAATCAGAAACATACACAAAAACAAATAAAGATAACTACAGCAGCACAGCTTATAATTTTGAAATGTTGAAAAAGACTTAAATTTCCTCTGTGTTAGCATTTAAATAATTACTGTACATTATTCAATAGAATATTACACAGACATTAGTAGTGATGCTGCTGAGAATATTTATTAGCATGGGGAGATTTTTTTTACAACATATTGGGTAGCAAAAAAACCAGCTTACAAATGAGTTTTCATACTATAATCCAAAATCCATAAAAGGATAAATGTAATTCTGAAATTATGTGACTGTGCTAAGTTTAAGGATAGGTAACAAAATACCGAACAGTGGGGATCCTCTCTTCTTGCTGGAAATTCTTCTCTAAATTGTTTTTAATTTACCAAATTTCTTGTATTAAGGATCCACTGTTTCATAATCAGAAAAAACAAGACATTTATGGCTGGCAGGGAGATCAATTCCACCTCTATGATTTTGTAACTAAATAATTATACACATAAATATGTAGTACAGTAATGTTTATTTCAGCATTATTTAGAAAATAATTAGAAACTTAAAAAGCCCAAATAAGAAAGGTTTGGATAAATAAGTTATAGTACCTCCATAATATGTCCATTAAACTCTGTTTCAGAGGCATATTTAATGACCAGAAAAAAATGTTGACAATATAATGTCTGGTTATAATATGGACTATGAAACTGCATGGATTATAAGCCTTATTTTTAAAATAAATACAAACATCTATGTGTATGCAGAAATCACATATTGCATTAAAAAAAAGGCTAGAAGGAAACAACAAAAGTTAAAGTGATTATCTCTGAAGGATGCATTGTTGAAGGTTTTCATTTTATTCTTAATACCAATTCTGTTTTCCAAATTCTCTAAAGTTAGTTTGCAAAGTGTGGTATACATACAGAAATACCCAAAAGGCAAGGGATAGGGAAGAAGGGAAATTTAAAAGTAAAGCAGTCATCTGTCTCATTACTTTGATTTAGTTTTAGTTACAGAATTTTATTCATTTTTTAAATGACACTAAAGGAAGATATTATTTATTTATCACATGAAGGCATTGGATTTTTAAAAATTGAGCACTGCTCTAAAACATATGCTTTTCATTTAAAAAATTAAAGTATTCAGGGAAGTTTAAAGTAGTAAGAGTACTCCTTTATAAAAGTGAATACCGTTAATAAAAAATGCCATCAACCTGTAGCACTACAATTTGAAAATTGTATTGACTATCATTTTGTGAATAAATATGTCATTATATTTTATTCTTAAGGAGCATCCAAAATTCAATTACATTTCATTAACTGTCCTTCATTCCTTCAAAATATTATGTTAGCATTACAATTACATGTTAAATAAGAAAATCAGAAGGTTCTTTACTTGTTTTGAAATTATTTTGAATGAGTTTCAATTTAGATAATTTTTAGTTATATAAAGGTTTAAGGTCAAAAATGTTTCTTAGAAATATGACATTTAATGATTAGCAGTTATACTGAAAATTAGAAAAATAAAGAATGTGAAATTCATATCACTATTCATTAAAATCAATATAGCCCCTCATTCCTTAGTCAAAATATACATATTTAAAATAATAGATCATTTAAAATTAGACTGCTCAAATCACTTTAAAAACTTTAAAAACTGCTTATAACTAAATCTGTATTATGCTACCTCATCTTCCTATAATTATTACGTTAAATTAGTAAATCTGACTAAATCTTTTATCTATATATGTAAAGTAATTATCTAGAGTATACAATTTCCTATTTTCCACATAAATAATGACAACTGGGAAACAACCTCTTCAACCCTTGAAAGCTTCAATTGTCAGAAATGCCCCTTCGAAGAGCATCATCATATTCATGCTTTCAACAACTTACAACATTATATAAAACAGATAAAATGGCATCTCATGCTATAGTTGTTAAAAGCTTTTCAATGTTTACAACAAATAATTGAGACTTTGGGGATTTTATAACTTGTCATACATAATATATTTATTTCTCCTCAATGTCCAACATAAGTGCAATTTTTATAGACCTCCCAAAATTCTTTTCTCTCACACAAAAATTACTATTATCAGAATGAATACTTGAGAATTGATGTTCTTCAATTTTAAATTACTAAGTTTATGCCATTATACTATCTTTCACTGATAATATTTGACTATAAAAAACATGATGCCTGACAAATAACCCTTAGTTTTATATTTACTGAAGTACTAAATACAAAGCCTTATAATGAGGCTAGGAACTTTTTTGCTGGTACAACACCAGAGTTTTTAAAAATTGTCACAAGAGAAACAGTAGAGAAAACCAATGAAACAAAAAGCTGTTTTTTTAAAAAGGTCAGTGAAACTAACAAACCTCTACCAAGACTGACAAAAATAAAAAGAGAGAAATAACTATTACCAGGAATGATACAGAGGCTATCACTGCAGACCCCGCACACATTAAAAGGGTAGTAAGGGAGTACTAAAAACAACTCTATATACACACATGTGACAATTAAGAAGAAATGGATCAATTTCTAAAAACCACAAACTATTACAACCAGTCTACATGAAATAAATAAAACTACTAAAGAAACTGAATTTCTAATCTAAAAGACTACCAAAAAAGTAATATCCAGGACCAGGTGGTTTTACTGGAGAATTCTACCAAATGTTTAAGAATTAACAAATCTCTACAAGTTCAGAAATAAGAGGAAGGAAAACTTCTCTACTCATTTTGTAAGAACAGTATTACCATGATACCAAAACCTGATAGAACACAAAAAAAAAGGAAAACTGTAACTCAATATCTCTCCTGAACATAAGTATAAAAATTCTTAATAAAAAAAGTATACATAATGACCAAATGGGATTTATTTCACAGATAAAAAAAGCTGGTTCAATATTCAAAAAGCAATCAATGTAATAACTATATTAACAGGCTAAAAAAGAAAAACTGTATGATCAGATCAGTATTGATGTAGAAAAAGCATACAACAAAATTTAATATCCATTCATGATAAAAAATCTCAGCAAATGAGTAATAAAAGAGAACTTCCTCAACTAAATTAAAAAATTGACAGAAAACTACAGCTAACATCATTCTGAATGGAGAACTACAAAGTGGTGCAAGGCTTTGCCATGAAGAAAGTATTTTGTGTCTTAATTGTGGTGACAGTTACAGGAACCCACAAATCTAATGAAATGGCACAGGTCCATGTACCCACACTGTACCATGGTCAACTCCTGGCTTTGGTGCTACACCACAGTTATGTAAGATGTAATCACTGGAGGAAACGTGGTGAAGAGAACATGGGACATTTCTGCAATTTCTATAACATTTTAACTTTCTATGAATCTACTGAAAGTAAAAAGTTTAAGAAGACTGCTTTATGAAAAAATTCTCTTCTGGATGAGCTAAAGTTAAAAACTTGATTCAAGCAGCATATATAATAAATCTTTAATTTTATTCAACTTGAATGAAATCAACCATGATCTGTTATATTTTAAAGGGTTTGTCTATACAAAAGGTAACTCTTTTCACCAACAAATCAAAGCTTAGTTTATTTCAAATTTTGCATAATTACACTGAATTTTGAGAACTAGAGAAAACAAAAGGACACTGAAACTTAAATGTTAATTCTTAAAACAAAAGAACTTCTGTCCCACATGTACAACGCCTGCATGCCCTCTAAATGGGAAAGAAAAATGTCTTACCATAATTAAACTGACTGTTGGACTTTTCACAGTTAATGATGTTAAACCTGTAAGCAACTCCTGGTCGCATTCCACTGACCTCAAAGTAAAACCACTGATGATAATGATTGCTATTTATATCTGAGTTCAGAATAAGATCATATTCATTTCTGAAAATAGAAAATTAAGAAATCTGATGAAAATTAGGAAAATACCTGTGCATATACAAAATAAGACAATTTTAAATGACTTACTTTCTAATTTGAATTACTTTGCGCAAATTCCCAGATTCAAATTTGGAGTTAAACTTCAAAATATCTCCTTCTTCTGGAATGGTGTAACTAAAAATTTTAAAGTAAGCATAATAAATAACACTGGATTTAAACAGATGAATAAAAATTAAATAAATTCAAACAGGAACAGACTCTTGCTCTTCTGTAGCTTGCATTCTAAGTAAGGGAAACTAAGACTCAAAAATGCCTCACGATTATGTCCAAGTCATTTCACTAAGAAAGAACACTGGTGTGCCACACTCAGGGTTCCTGAGTTTCTGTTTTTACCACAACTGCCTGGTCTATCTGACACAGAATTATAAACACTGAAATAACCTAAAAGATTATGAATAAGGTACGTTTGCTTTTCATTTTTAAGAATATTATTTCAAATTCAGTCATTAGTTTTGATAGAGCTTTGACCTGTATCTCTATAATAAAAATATTTAAAAAGTGTTTTATTTCCTCCAATTAAGACCAGTAAGATGTGAAATGTCCCTAACATTTAGAATGTTTAGAGAAGGGGGAAACCCGCTGAGGGCTAGTTAAATTTATCATTTGAGGTAAATGACTAAATAACAGTCTCATTCATTTTTTGTAATTTTCATTTATTTACTTATATTTAAACCCTAAAATGTGATATCAGTGATAATCATAAATTATAAATGACAATAATACATCAAGAAATCACAATGAACAAACAAAGAACAAATGGCTCCCAAGGCAAGTAATTTAAAGGATGGAAGCAGATTATAAGCAGTAAAAGACAAGAGTGAGTAGTAGGGACTACAGAGAATTAGCAGGCATACATTCCTTCTAAAGAAGATAGTAATTTGTTATCTTAAAGTGAAGGCTTGATATGATGGGACAAAATTGCAACATTTTGTGTGAAATCTCCACTCTCTGAAATGGAGGTATTTGGGCTTTTTTTAAAACAGCATCAATTTGTAACCTTTACCTTATTAAATTCATAAATTCACCTAAGAACAAAAGCTTGTGATATATTCAGTGTAAGTAAATAAACATGATTTACTATTACATCATTGCTTTTTATCTTTTAGACAAAAATATAGTATGGGTAAATTAGGTTCAAGTTAACTGTATTTATCTTCTAAAAATAACACTGAAATTTTACAGTTAAAATTCACCTAGTAAAAGTAAAAAAAAAAAAAAAAAGACTTACTTTGGGTTATCTAAGTCATATACCACTCGATCTATGATATCATTCTGATGTATAAGCCTCTCAATATCTTGGGCAATTTTTGTCCTGAAATCAAGAAAAAGAAGTTTAAGCAAAACTCATTATTATATGCCAGGGCATAACTTTTTCAAAATGAGTTTTGGATTAAAAAAAGTGTAAAATGATAAAATTTCTTAAAGTTAAAATGATCATCTTTCTATATATTTTGTATACCAAAACAATGATCAATACCTGAGACAAAAATCAATATTTTTTAAGTCTGAGTTCTAGAAAATAACCATGTAGAATAAAGCTTACAAGTCTAATAGTTTAAAGAAAGTTTAAATGGTTACTCCTTTTAACACAGAAATGGTGCAGATCCACTCACTAGCCCTTAAGCAAATATTTTTGTATACATAATAGCATTCTTAGAAGCAGTAAAGATCTGAAAAACCAGAGATTATTGAGTGTTTTTGTGGGCAAGACTGAAGTAAATAATCACTTCTTATGTGTATATATAGAAGGAGATTTTTAAAACTACCCTCACTAGAATTTAACTAAAATGCAATCAGCAACTGGCTTGCACATTCTGCAGAATCCTTCTCACTTCTGTGGCTAGAGAGGAAATGTGGACAGCAGGGAAGCAACTGTGTCAAGGAGCAGAGGGTGGTCCCTCCATCTCCAGGATTCTCTAGGCCTGATCTCCCCCTGATCAGTCCAACAAAATGGACACCAACTTGAAAATTCTTAAAATCCTTGCCACTGTCCTAGAAAACGGAGCCATTCATAAACCCCACAATCTTCCCTGTTGACATTTAAACCTGGGAACACAACAATCACTGAAAGTGACAAAAAACTGCAGCTCAAACAGACCTAATTTTGCTTAAAAGTCCACCATGGGAAGGTACCTACTGGTGATAACACATAGCTTCCTTTCACAGTATTACTTAATCTTAGAGAGGAAGCTGATTACATAAACTAATAGGAACTGCAAGCTTGTTTGTTTCAGCTAAAGATTAGTAATGCAGATTGGAACTGTGGTTTATTGGCTTTCTGAGAGAACACAGTAAAAAGGTTTGCCAAAATGGCTATAAGAAAAGAATACCAGAATATACTAAACACTGCCAAGTTTCCTTAATTAGAGGCACATGTGAAACTAGTCTCCTGCACAAAGATACTCTCTTGTAATTAAAGAGAATTAACTCTCATATAGTATAGAAATATATCTAGCAACATCATAATGTAGTCTTAAATTCAAAATAAACCAGAAACATATTCTAATGAAGAATTAAAAATTACCAGAAAATACTAAAATATGATAGCTAAACGCTAAGAAAGTGCAACTCTGAAATTCTTAATCTAGTAGTTATACAGTTAATGAAAATTATTTTTAATTTTGATTCTACAACAAATAACATCACTGACAAAGGAGTCTATCAAAAAAATACAAGCTAGTATGAGACAATTACGATATAAATCCTTGATTTAGGTTCACTGTCATAACTTTCAAATGCTAGATTCTTTCTAAAGAAACAAACTTGTAAAAAGCTATTAATTATAATAAACAAATCCAAATTTTATGTTACCCACACCTTCAACAATAAGAGATGGCACTTACATATACTCAAATATACCATAAATAAATAAATAAAATGCTCAAGTATAAGTGAACGACTAAATACATTCATCATAATTTATTAAATAAGATTGATATACCACAAAAATGTAAAAGTTAATACTTAAAAGAAAGTTTGGGTTTTTTTTTTTAAAGAAAAACGTTATTAATAGATGGATTAACAGCTTGGTTGTACAGCAACACTCCATAATATGAAATGGTAAAAAAGCACAGACACCTATGGGTGGCAGGTGATGTAACCGAGTGAGCCTAACTGGATGGCACAGAGGGAAACTGGAGACCTGGGTTCTGTTTAAAAACAAACTGACTGTTAGATGAATGAATAAAGATGTGGTACATATACACAATGGAATATTATTCAGCCATAAGAGGAAACAAATCCTACCATTTGTAACAATATGGATGGAGCTAGAGGGTATTATGCTCAGTGAAATAAGCCAGGTGGAGAAAGACAAGTACTAAATGATTTCCCTCATTTGTGGAGTATAACAAAGCAAAACTGAAGGAAAAAAATAGCAGCAGACACACAGACACCAAGAAGGGACTAGCGGTTACCAAAGGGAAGGGAGTTGGGACATGGGTTGGGAGTGAAGGAGAAGGGGATTAAGGGGCATTATGATTAGCACACATAGTGTAGCGGGAACACGGGGAAAGCAGTATAGCACAAAGAACTAGTGACTCTATAGCATCTTACTATGCTGATGGACAGTGACTGCAATGGGGTGGGGGGGAGGGACTCAATAATATAGGTAAATGTAATAACCACAATGTTACTCATGTGAAACCTTTATAAGATTGTATACAAGATTAAAAAATTTTTTATAAGATTCAAGATGGCGGCATGAGAGGTGAGACAGAGAACTCCTCCCAAAACCACACATAATACGAAAATATAGTTAATACAACTAATTGTAAAAGAGCAACAGGAAAGAAGTCTGCCAGAATTTATAACCTGGAGAACAGAGCAGACCTTGCAAAACAGGATAACATACCAAAGCCATGATCCAGTGGGATCCAAGCCTTTCCCTGACCCCAGCTCACTGGCGGGAGGAAGAAAAACAGAGCGAGGAGGGGATGGAAGCCTAGGACTGCTGAACACCCAGCCCTGGAGATCTGCTTTGGGAGCACAAACCTACATTGCATGGTGCTCTGGAGATTAGAGGGGTTGGAAAGCTAAGACAGGCGGAATACTTTGAGGGACTGAGATTTTCCAGCTGTTTGTGGAGGACAGGGATTGACATGCGGCCGCTCTGGGACACAAGAAAGGCAGGCGGTCTGAGAGGCTTCCTAGCAGCAAGAGGGCTACTGAAGGGGCACGGTCTGCACAGAGCTTGCTGCTGGGGAGAAGGGATAGGTGGACAAGGTTCTCTGGGTGTGCTCTGCCCAGCAGGTTGGGAACTTTCAGGAGCTTCAGGCGCTCCATCCCCCTGGCTGGCTATTCAGCTCCAAAGCACCCCACTGTGATACACAGCCTGCTGTGCCTTCCTCCTGGCCTGCCAGCACCAGCTCACAAACCAGAGGTCCCTGCCCTGATGTCAGGCCAGCCAGAAGGAAGCCCTGCCTATGACAGCTACAGACACAAAGCACAGAGGCTTACACCTGTGTGCTTGGCCCATTGCTTCTGACAGTGGACACAGGCAATGCAGTCAGGAAGCAGGAAACAGCTCTTGCCTCCGCCGAGGCCCAAGCGCCACTCAACTGCAACCGCCAACATCACTCCAGGGGCTGAGCAGCTCCAGAGACTAAAGCTTCTGGGCACTAGATGGTGCCACATACAAATATAAAATGTCAAAGGAACCTGGTTCAAACAAAAATCTCAGAAACGCCAGAAGAAGGGCCAAATGAAACTGAACTCACCAATCTTCCTGAGAGTTCAAAATCAAAATCATAAACATGCTCATGGAGGTACAGAAAAATATTCAAGAATTCAAGGATGAATTTAGAACAGAGATTTAATCACTAAAAATTCCATATCTGAAATGAAACATACAATGGAGGGATTTAAAAGCATATTAGGTGTAGCAGAAGAGATGGCAAATGAAATAGAAATTAGAGAAAAGGAATACAAAAAAGCTGAGGCACAGAGAGAAAAAAGGATCTCTAAGATGGAAAGAATATTGAGAGAACTGTGTGACCAATCCAAACAGAACAATATTTGCATTATAGGGGTACCAGAAGAAGAAGAGAGAGAAAAGGGGACAGAAAGTGTCTTTGAGGAGGTAATTGCTGAAAAGTTCCCCAATCTGGGGACACAGAGAGTCAGTCTCTCAGGTCATGGAGGTGCACAGATCTCCCAATGCAAGGGACCCACAGAAGACAACATCAAGACATATAATAATTAAAATGGCAAAGATCAAGGATAAGGACAGACTTTAAAAGCAGATAGAGAGAGAAAAATGATCACATACAAAGGAAAACCCATCAGTCTATCATCAGACTTCTCAGCAGAAACCTTACAGGCAAGAAGGGAGTAGCATGATATATTTAATGCAATGAAGCAGAAGGGCCTTGAACCAAGAGTACTTTACTTGGAAAGATTATCACTTAAATTTGAAGGTAGGATTAAACAATTTTCAGATAAGCAATAGCTGAGAGAATTTACCTCCCACAAACCACCTCTAGACTCCATTTTGGAGGGACTGTTACAGATGGAAGTATTCCTAAGGCTAAATAGCTGTCACCAGGGGAAATAAAACCACAGCAAAGAAATAGAACAATTAATTACAAAACAGATGCAAAATCAAATCAACTACCCCCAAAGTCAATTAAGGGATAGACAAAGAGTACAGAATATGATACATAATATATAAAGAATGGAGGAGGAGGAAAAAAAAAGAACCTTTACATTGTGTTTATAATAGCATACTAAGTGAGTTAAATTAGACTGTTAGGTAGTAAGGGAATTACCATTGAACCTTTGGTAACCACGAATCTAAAGCTTGCACAATGGCCAATAACTACATACCTATCCATAATCACCATAAATGTAAGTGGTCTGAATGCACCAATCAAAAGACATAGAGTCACTGAATGGATAAAAAAAAAACAAGACCCGTCTATATGCTGCTTACAAGAGACTCACTTCAAACCCAAAGACATACACAGACTGAAAGTAAAGGGATGAAAAAAGATATTTCATGCAACTAATAGGGAGAAAAAAAGCAGGAGTTGCAATACTTGTATCAGACAAAATAGACTTCAAAACAAAGAAAGTAACAAGAGACAAAGAAGGATGTTACATAATGATAAAGGGGTCAGTCCAACAAGAGGATGTAACTATTATAAATATCTATGCACCCAACACAGGATCCCCTACATATGTGAAACAATACTAAGAGAATTAAAGGAGGAAATAGAATCCAATGCATTCATTTTAGGAGACTTCAACACACTACTCACTCCAAAGGACATCAACCACACAGAAAATAAGTAGGGAGACAGAGACACTGAA